TGCGTTTTGACGTTGTTACGATTTGTCCTGGTGTGTTAACACTGTGATGTTTTATTATTACGTGTTGACGTTGTTATGAGTTTTCCTTGTGTGTTAACGCTGTTATGTTTCATTATTGCGTGTTGACGTTGTTACGATTTGTCCTTGTGTGTAAACGCTGTGATGTTTCATTTTGGCGTGTTGACGTTGTTACGATTTGTCCTTGTGTTGACGCTATTATGTTTTATTATTGCGTGTTGACGTTGTTACGATTTGTCCTTGTGTGTAAACGCTGTGATGTTTCATTTTGGCGTGTTGACGTTGTTACGATTTGTCCTTGTGTTGACGCTATTATGTTTTATTATTGCGTGTTGACGTTGTTACGATTTGTCCTTGTGTGTAAACGCTGTGATGTTTCATTTTGGCGTGTTGACGTTGTTACGATTTGTCCTTGTGTTGACGCTATTATGTTTTATTATTGCGTGTTGACGTTGTTACGATTTGTCCTTGTGTGTAAACGCTGTGATGTTTCATTTTGGCGTGTTGACGTTGTTACGATTTGTCCATGTGTGTTAACGCTATTATGTTTCATTATTGCGTGTTGACGTTGTTACGATTTGTCCTTGTGTGTTAACGCTGTTTTGTTTCATTATTGCGTATTGACGTTGTTACGATTTGTCCATGTGTGTTAACGCTATTATGTTTCATTATTGCGTGTTGACGTTGTTACGATTTGTCCATGTGTGTTAACGCTTTTATGTTTCATTATTGCGTGTTGACGTTGTTACGATTTGTCCTTGTGTGTTAATGCTGTTATGTTTCATTATTGCGTGTTGACGTTGGTATGATTTGTCCTTGTGTGTTAACGCTGTTATGTTTCATTATTGCGTGTTGACGTTGGTATGATTTGTCCCTGTGTGTTGACGCTGTTATGTTTCATTATTGCGTGTTGACGTTGTTATGATTTGTCCATGTGTGTCGACGCTGTGATGTTTCACTATTGCGTTTTGACGTTGTTACGATTTGTCCATGTGTGTTAACGCTATTATGTTTCATTATTGCGTGTTGACGTTGTTACGATTTGTCCATGTGTGTTAACGCTTTTATGTTTCATTATTGCGTGTTGACGTTGTTACGATTTGTCCATGTGTGTTAACGCTTTTATGTTTCATTATTGCGTGTTGACGTTGTTACGATTTGTCCTTGTGTGTTGACGCTGTTATGTTTCTTTATTGCGTGTTGACGTTGGTATGATTTGTCCTTGTGTGTTAACGCTGTTATGTTTCATTATTGCGTGTTGACGTTGGTATGATTTGTCCTTGTGTGTTAACGCTGTTATGTTTCATTATTGCGTGTTGACGTTGTTATGATTTGTCCTTGTGTGTTAACGCTGTGATGTTTCATTATTGCGTGTTGATGTTGTTATAATTTGTCCTTGTGTGTTAACGCTGTTATGTTTCATTATTGCGTGTTGACGTTGGTATGATTTGTCCTTGTGTGTTAACGCTGTTATGTTTTATTATTGAGTGTTGACGTTGTTATGACTTTCCTTGTGTGTTAACGCTGTTATGTTTTATTATTGCGCATTGACGTTGTTACGATTTGTCCTTGTGTGTTGACGCTGTTATGTTTCTTTATTGCGTGTTGACGTTGTTACGATTTGTCCTTGTGTGTCGACGCTGTTATGTTTCATTATTGCGTGTTGACGTTGTTATGGTTTGTCCTTGTGTGTTGACGCTGTTATGTTTCATTATTGCATGTTGACGTTGTTACGATTTGTCCTTGTGTGTCGACGCTGTTATGTTTCTTTATTGCGTGTTGACGTTGTTATGACTTGTCCTTGTGTGTTGACGCTGTGATGTTTCATTATTGCGTGTTGACGTTGTTACGATCTGTCATTGGGTGTTAACGCTATTATGTTTCATTATTGCGTGTTGACGTTGTTATGACTTGTCCTTGTGTGTCAACGCTGTGATGTTTCATTATTGCGTGTTCACGTTGTTATGACTTGTCCTTGTGTGTTAACGCTGTTATGTTTCATTATTGCGTGTTGACTCTGTTATGATTTGTCCTTGTGTGTTAACGCTGTGATGTTTCATTATTGCGTGTTGACGTTGTTACGATTTGTCCTTGTGTGTTAACGCTGTTATGTTTCATTATTGAGTGTTGACGTTGTTACGATTTGTCCTTGTGTGTCGACGCTGTTATGTTTCATTATTGCGTGTTGACGTTGTAACGGTTTGTCCTTGTGTGTTGACGCTGTGATGTTTCATTATTGCGTGTTGACGTTGTTAGTGTTATTATTGCGTGTTGACGTTGTTACGATTTGGCCTTGTGTGTTTACGCTGTTATGTTTCATTATTGCGTGTTGACGGTGTTACGATTTGTCCTTGTGTGTCGACGCTGTTATGTTTCATTATTGGGTGTTGACGTTGTTACGATTTGTCCTTGTGTGTTGACGCTGTTATGTTTCATTATTGCGTGTTGACGGTGTTACGATTTGTCCTTGTGTGTCGATGCTGTTATGTTTCATTATCGCGTGTTGACGTTGTTACGATTTGTCCTTGTGTGGTAACGCTGTTATGTTTCTTTATTGCGTGTTGACGTTGTTATGATTTGTCCTTTTGTGTTAACGCTGTGATGTTTCATTATTGCGCATTGACGTTGTTATGATTTGTCCTTGTGTGTTAACGCTGTTATGTTTTATTATTGCGTGTTGACGTTGTTATGATTTGTCCTTTTGTGTTAACGCTGTGATGTTTCATTATTGCGTGTTGACGTTGTTACGATTTGTCCTTGTGTGTCGGCGTTGTTGTATTTTGATTCATGTGTTCATATTACGGGATATGCTCGTTGCTTGTTGTCATTGTTATATATTTAGTGTACAGTGTGTACAGTGATTAATGTGTTTTTAAACATCTTCTTGCTTTGATATCCGTTTGGCAAGAACAGGTTCCCATACAATCTTGCAATAAACTCATTATTGCTGGCAATCAATATTTCGTTGTGTAGTTATGTCGTTAATTTTTTTAATAAAACAATTTACTTTGATTTATTTTGTTTAACGTCCTGCTAACAGCTTATGTCATTGAGGGACGTGCCTCCATGTGTGATGTGTTGGATACCTGTGAAAGTCTAAAGGATAATAGCAGTTCATAGTACTACTCCTATTCCGTCTTTGCGTATTGCAGAGTTTTCTTCTCTTGGGAGCAGGTATTGATTGTTACGTCACTTGTTTGTGTTAGAAACGTCATCAATTTTTGAGAAAACGTAATTTTCTCACACAGACCAATGACGTAACAATCAATACCTGTTCCCAAGAGAAGATAACTCTGCAATACGCAAAGACGGAATTCTGAACGCCAGGATGGTCGTAAAGGTCACTTGGCATTCTATCACTGATTACATTGTCATTTAGATACCACGAGCACACGTATAACACTTTTGTCAATTAAGTTAATCTTCCATATACTGAACAAATGTGTTTTGCCTGGGGGTGTCAGGCTCCTTGGCCGCAGGGACGACTCCGCAATAACAGCATTAGAAGATCAGTTTCGTTGTTTTATTAAAAAGAGTAAGACATATAGATCTCATTTTGAAGATTGATTTTATTACGAATATATATACACGTACATATACTAAACACATTAAACTGAGGTTGACTCAGTTGCTCTGCTACACGGAGGCACACGAAGACGCCACCGACCCGAAAAACAAGACAAAAAGTGCTGTTTGGTTTGGTTTGATATTGTTTAACGTCCAATTAACATTTAAGGTCATTTGAGGACCAGACGCCATGTGTGTTGTGTAAGCGTGCGTGTGTGTATGTGTGCCGGAGACAAGGGTTTGTTTGTGTACTTGCCTCCTTGTAATAGCACGGATCAGATGCCGACTTTATAGAGCTATCTCACTGAAACACCATGCCGGAGCACCGAGCACAGCATTCCGCCCGGACAAATTATACTGACAACGGATGAACCAATTGTTGTCATTACCCTAATGCTAAACTTTGATCAGGGGATTACAACTACCATCGTTAAGGACTTCGGTGTGTCCCGGCCTGGGAACAGAACCCATTACCTCCCTCACCTGAGCGAACGCTCAACATCAACGCCAAACGTGAGGTGTTGCCATTCAGGCCGCTTAGAAATAAAAGGCAGTTAGATTTCAAATAAATATTGCAATGTGTGCTTTGTGTCCCCAAGTAGAGGGCACAAAAGCAAATCCCCAACTCTGCAGGAGGTTGCCTAATTTGTCGCCTCTTGCGATACATGCTGTGGGTAACATAAGGTGCATTATTTTCTCAATCCCCGATTTGCAGGGGTGTGACGTTATGATGTTTGATATAAAATGTTTGCAGTGGTGTTATTAATGTATATATGTATGCAATAAGACACCAAGTGCGTTACCAGCATTAGAGTCTGATTGCTTTCTGTTGTCCAGTAAAGGGATTGAAAATATTAGTTTGTTTAAAGACTAGTTGTTTGATCAACTATGTAAGTATCCGCAGTAAACAGGCTGTTAGAGTGCCCGGGTCCCTAATGGCTGTCCTATGGTCTCATTCGATTGGTTGCCAATACACTCAACTGATGGTATATTTATATGTGGGGTATACTGTTTTCACAGTGCATTTACGTTATGCAGTTCTAGTTTTAAACATTGTCAATGTTTCATTTACGCTATTTTAATATTTAAAAAGGCCACAAAATCAAATTTATAAATTTGTATCATGACAAATTTGATGCTCAATATCTTTGAGATGAAACCAGCTATATGCTGATTCTTGACAAATATGTGTATTGGTCTCTGTCTTCCAATTTCAGCAAAATAATAAAACACAGAATGTATTTACTTTACTTCAAAATTTGATTTATATATTCAGTGAAGGGGTCGTAATGATGCGTAGTTACTGTACATGGCGACTCTCCGCAGGTACCCGAGGACGTGTAGATTGGCGCCAAGCTTGTTACTGAAGCTGACACTCCTAGCTATAGTATTCGATCTATTTAACAGGCGCCACTACACACACCCGGGCACAGCAGCTAGTTGGGACGGCACAGTGTTGATAGGAGTGTGAACAGGGTTTAGTGTACAAGCATCAAAGTGATTCTTAATCTTTGTATCGGTGAGGTGATAAAGACGGGATCATGCTTCTCCTGAAAGTTCTTCTGTTTTGCCTTCAAGGTAAGTAACATATCAACTACTAACCGATTATGTATTAGGCATAAAATATGTTGATCTTCTGTAAAAGAGATACACTCGGTAATAAACTTTGTGTGGTATTTATAATCTATTGTAACAGCTAAGGAATATGAGGGGGAGATTCCAATAATGCGGTAAAACCCGGGGACCCGCTCATTCGTTCAGCAACGTCGAGCGTGGTCAGTAGTTGAATAGGTGACCGCCCGCACGTTACACGTTATTTGTTTCCGAAAAGAAATCGACATGTCTTACGATACACTTGCTGTAAACGTCGCAGACTATCTTATTAAAATCAACAGTAAATGTTATTGATATAACCTGTCGAAAACTAGAAGTTGTAGGGATACGCATGTGCTTGTTTTCTTGATTTTATAAAGACACCAGAGACACGAGTACGTCCTCATGCTCTAGCGTGGATTCTGTACTCAAACCAGTTTTCTTGTCCCTCAATTAAATTATGTAACTAGATCAACATGTCCTGACGAAATATATGATGTGTTTTATAATGTGAATGTAATAGCGCAGATGTTTCCATTCCAGTGATTATTTCTGGTAAAGGAAATTATTTTCATATACAAAACTAAAGGGATATATGGTCTAAGTACTCTACTTCAGAAAGTAATTCAAATAGTCATAAGAATCATTTCGTTTTACTTGCCCCCATAAACTAATGCCCGAAACGAATACTTTGACATAAACAACGATAAATCACTTAAACTAAACAGTTGTCTTTTTACCTAAAATATATAAACAATCATCAATCCTTTGTACGACTTTAAATTCTGTAAACAGTTAACACTAATTTGTATGAATTCTGATATATATCGACAATTAACAATAGTTAGTTTGACTTATAAAACATGAACAATTAATAATTTGTATTTTCGTTAACTCTTCATCGAACAGAAATTATATAATATTGTTTGTTCAAAGTAAATATACATAGAATGGATGTCACTTAATTTACAATTGTGTTTACACTCTCAGTCCTGTAATTAATATAATTATTTCACAAAAAAATATATGAAAAAAACTAATCATGGTAACACTTATTTGATGAAGTAGTGTGCTAATGTAAGGCACATTTGCCTCGGCTTGGGGACAAGTCTTTTAAAGTAATCAGTTTGATTGTCAACATGTAGACTTTGATTCGGGGAAAAAATAAGGCACACGCATGCAGTGTGATTTGTTTGGTATGGATTGGTTTAATAGGGTTTAACGTCCTCCCAACAGCTAAGGTCATTTAAGGACGTGCTTCCGTGTGTGTTGTACGCGTGCTTGCGTGTAAGGCAAGGTATGTTGATGTTTTTGCCTCCTTGTCAAAACACGGATCCGATGCCGACTTTATAGTGCCATCTCACTGAAATACCATGTTGAAGGTACCAAGCTCAGCATTCCGCCCGGTCACATTATACTGACATCGGGTTAATTAATTGTTGCGATTCCCATAAATACTGAACGGAACGTTAAGCAGGGAATAGCAACTACCATTTTTAAAGACTTGGGAATGTCCCAGGCTAGAGACAGAACCTATGGCCTTCCTCACCTAGGCGAACGTTTATTATTAAAGCCAAAAGTGAGGTGTTGCTAATTAAGGCTTTAAGAAGTTAAAGGTAGGTAGAGGTAATAGTTAATGGATATTCGTTGTATCTGAGTAGAAGACTCAGACGATTTTTTTGTTTCGGGTTTCACCCCATCGGAACATTGGACAACGCCACTTGTCCTGAACGGTCCAGGATATTTCAACTAAATTTGGTCCCGAGCAGCCTAGGCCAAGGGGACTCAATTTTGTATAAGCGGTTGGTGTGGACCCCTTGGGGACAAAGGGATGCGGCCCAAAATGGGGATATAGAGGTTAAATCCTTCTTTTACCATAGGTATTAAGGGATCTCATCCAAATTTGGTCTGAAGCATTCTAGGGCCAAGAGGACCTAATTTTGTATAAATGGTGGTTTTTGATCCCCTGGGGGCAGAGTTGTGGGGACCAAAAGGGATAGTAGAGGTAAACCTTTAAAATCCTTCTTTTATCATAGGGATTAAGGGATTTTAACCAATTTTGTCTGAAACATGCTTGGGCTAAGGAGAATCAGATTTGTAGAAACAGTGGGTTTTGACTTCTGTAGGCAGAGGTACGGGGCCCAATAGGGATAATAGTGGTACCAACCTTCATCTTTTGAATGTTAATATGTAAAATACATGATTTATGAACATGGTTGATTGTTTGTTAATTAAAAGGCCCTTTATAAAAGTGTTGTTATGACAATATCGATTATGGATAAATTGTAATGCTGTGTGATTGTTTATAAATTTAAAGGGACGTGTAAAGAAACACACCCGTTCCAGGTCATTGATATCATCGCTATTGAAAAGAATTCATTGTGGCAGAGTTACAGGGCCCAAAAGGGAAAATAGAGGTAAACCTTTAAAATCCTTCTTTCATCATAGGGAATAAGGGATTTTATCCCAATTTAGCCTCGAGAATCCTTGGGTAAAGGGAAATTAATTTTGTATAAAAGAACGGGTGCTGAGAGTTACATGGCCAAATAGGAAAATTTGAGGTTTAATTTTTTTAAATTCTTCTTCTGTACCATTGGAGGGATATTATGTAATAAGAATAATTTCCAATGGTTGCTTTATTATCCAGGTGAGCGGTACAGGCCTGTATGGCTTATTGTATTGAGTCCTACTAACAGCTAAGGTAATTTTAAGGTCGCGTGTGCTATGTATGCTGAGTAGATAATAAAGTCTGGTCACGGATGATTGATCATGTATAAACATGTGAATTATTAATATCGCGCTATACGTTTCGTCGTAGAAGATTGTTGGATACTATCACAAAATGAAATACTATTGAATGTCACTAAAACATGATGGCACTATTGTTGACTGTACCTTTCCTAGCGACAGCGTTTTAATAAAGTCTTTACTGAGAAATTGATACCTCGTGTCAAATATCAGTAACATAGGAATATTGATTTTGTCGTAACGTTGACAAAATGAAAGTAGAAGAGAATACTGAGTTGTAAAGAAAAGCTTAATCTAAGTTAAAATCCACAGAAATAAAACCCATGTGTTTGGGTAGGAAAGCGTCTTCTGCTTTATCACCGAAAGCCGCCTGTAAATTTAGGTAAAATTCCAAGCAATGTCGGGTCCATAACGTGAAAAGTGTGGGTAGTGTCAGCGAAACAATAAGGCTCATAATAAAACCTATCGATATTCTCATCTCCCAAAGACATTTTTCAATGAGATCACGATCAAACATAATAATGATGCCATTCGACATTCCTACAAATGTTTACTTTAGTTTGTAAGTTTTCCGAATAAATTGTTATTTTTTAACCCAAAAGGAAAATAAAACCAAACGAAACCAAACCAATTTGAGACATGATAACACTACAACACTTGACACAATGTTTCGTTTTCTACGTTTCAGCATCATTTAAAGACATGTTTCTATGAGTGCTGGATGCGGGATATGTTGGTGTGATGCTAAAGCGCTATCTAGCTGACATACCATACCGAGGGCACCCATTTATGAGGACTTCGGTATGTCCCGGCCTTGGTACAGAACCCATTGTCCCGCTCACTTGGGCAAATGTTCAGCCTTAAAATAAATGTCGAGATATCGCTAAGCAAGGCAATAGAAAGTAAGACGTACTTAGAAGCAGAGGGATATAAGATCCCAAAAATTGTCAACGAATCGATAGGTATATATTATTAGGAATCGATCACCATCGTATTTTCGTGTCGTCATTTCCGTATTGCGTATCGGCCATTTCAATACCGTACTGTAAACAATAGTACATGTGTGTGACGTTGATATGGCAACACGCGTTATATCATACGTACTTCAGTAATAAAGGTTCCGATACAAAGACTCACGTAAAGACACTGACATGATACCAGACGACTTCATGAAGGTCATGTATGAAGCGCGGGCACATGAGAGCGGCATACCATGCGACAGCCTCTGGTTACAAATGTATCTGACATGTGAATATGCTATGCGCTAGAATGATGTCCTACGTGTACATGATTGCGAGTAATTTGGTTCCATAAAAGAAAAAAAAATGTCATCTTTTATATCTTAATTTAAATTTATTTCCATCCTTTTTTTATATGTTTTAAAAGTTATAACTTTCATTGTGTACATTTTATCCCTCTTCAAAAAGTTCCAATCAACGATCAAAGTGATTGTAAAATGTAAAATAAATGATTTATAAAGCCACTGTGTCATTTTTGGTCAATTTGTCACTATGTTTGTATGATACTTTGTGTCCTGTTTGCTTTTTTAGCTTGTAGATAATCAATAATAAACACTTTGTGTAATGTGTTTTATTTTTTTTAAATATCAATAAAATATTTGTAGGGTTAATAAGCAATGTTTCTTTTAATTTTTTATTATTATTATTATTGCTCCAAGCAAAGACGCACACTGAAAAAATGAAAAATATAAAAATTGACGAACACTCATATTTTTTTTTATATTCACAAAAATCCCAAATCTTGCCGAATGCTTAGATTTTCATAAAGTTACCTTTACATATATAGTTGCATAACCATTATTTGAACGTTTCAACTTATTCCGCTGGTTAATTGCGAAAGGGTGGAGCGACCTTAACCAAAGTGTTTGTGATACACGGTAAGTGGTGTTGTTATACCCCTGTCAGGTGTATCGTCGACAAACTATCGATTATAATAGTTCAATATAATATATATTTTGTATCGTCTACTCAGATCCTCTACGGGATTTCAAAGGAAACCTAATTCAAGTTGGATAAATTATTTACAAACCTAGCCGGGAATGTCATCGATTTATTTTAGAAAAAGTGAAGTTTCCAATAGACACTGTGCACCGTATGAAGGTAGAATTATCAAACCATGTTAATAATCAATTAGAAAATCGGAAATATAAAGGGAAATGAGATCACGCATAACAATAAAGTACCTTTGGTGGTGTTCAGACTAAATTAATTTATCGATCAACGAATTAAATATTTATATGAAAATAAGTAGGCGTCGCCACTCGATATTACCCTTTAGTACCCGAGTCACCCCCAGTATGGTTTATGAACGTGCATTTTACCCTCGTGGTATATAAATTAGGTAGATATACATAAATAGCCATGCCTATTATCACATGGGCTCACATTTGTAACATATTATTTTTTTAATCATATCACTAGTGCTAACCGAATAACAGATAAACGTAAATCGTGACGGTACAATTTTTATTTTTTATTGTTTCACGGCCCATCGACAATGCGAGTCATTTAGGGCCAAACAACACGTTAAAATAGGCTACCACAAACATGAATTCATCAAACTAGAAGTCTAAAAAGATATCAACAGGGAACGAATTAGCTGTGAATCATATCAGATATTATCATAAAGATCAATTGTGTGTAAATAATCACATATTGATTGAACAGAAACTGTATGAAATACACTTTTCATACACGATACATTACAGAATCTGTCACGTTTTTGTTTGAAATCAGCGCATTCAATCATAAATGTTTGACTGTAAATGGCTGATGAAATGCGTGACAATAAGGTTGCTCTTATCTATGTACAATGTTACTGTGTGTAATGTAGGTATGGCCTATGCGCAGTCGCGAGAGGACAACCCCCTCTCTACGGTATGAAATACACTTTTCATACACGATACATTACAGAGTCTGTCACGTTTTTGTTTGAAATCAGCGCATTCAATCATAAATGTTTGACTGTAAATGGCTGATGAAATGCGTGACAATAAGGTTGCTCTTATCTATGTACAATGTTACTGTGTGTAATGTAGGTATGGCCTATGCGCAGTCGCGAGAGGACAACCCCCTCTCTACGGCCCGATCCACATGCTGCACATGAACATACGTTAGGTTGAACTGCGAATAATGTGTTGTTCACCGTTTCAGACCGTTTTCCTTTAGTAATTCAGATTAATAAAACATGAAACTGAGCAATAGTGGTTTGTCACAGTCTACGGTTAATAATATTCAGCGTGGATTATGTTAAATTGAATGAGTTTCTTCGAACTAACAAACAAAAGTATCCAGTCCGAGGCCTCAAATAAACATTGTTTCCGCGCAATGTAAGTTAACGTTTGAGTACTTTCCCGTAAACAATGTAGTTCTATCTAACAAAAACAGAAAACGTATTCCACAGTGTATATCATTTTTTTCTATAACATCAAGAATCTAACAACATAAAAATACATATAACCACCAAACAATACTTATCATGCGCATTGTCAATTTCGAGCACAGGGGGTCTATTCGTCGTTGAAACATAGCAGGTATATTCTTGGGTTTTTGTTGTATGCTGCCTGAAAAAGAAATAAATCACTCCGATTCTGCAAGTTTTTGTTACATAAGTTGCCTCATACGATCATGCAATTGGATACAGTATACCCATTTTTTCCTCGAAGCTGCAAGGGTTGAAGTGCAAAAAATATATTTCGACACGCAAACATGATTTTCATAAATTGCACACATTTCAATGCGAAGAAACCGGCACACGGCAAATGTAGTACTTGTGCTTGTTGTAGATAAATTACCCGAGCAATTACAACGTTCAATTTATAGTCAACAGGTGGAACGGTGTTTTCTATTATTATATTTGTAACTGCCTCAAATAGATAATATTAAAGTATTTCAATTTTTTATTGTAATTTTGACCAGGTCTCGCCATCGTGGCTGATGACTACTTCCGGGAGGACAAGATGAATTCTGGGTTTATGTTTATTCCCTACCTGCTGAAAGAGTCCCACGACCACATTGAAGACTGCCTGTCGTTTTGTGAACTTGAACCAAAATGTAACATCGTGACCTTTGACAAGACACGCCGCATGTGTAGGGGATATGAAAACGTCACCCAATCGGAAGCTTTCATCGCAGTACCCGGCACGAAGCTGTGGTCAAGTAAGTAAACTTGTCATAAAGCAATGATTTTTATGCAGCATGAGTTTTTAAGGATGTACTCTTCTAGTGTTTAAATCATGTTCAAATCTCGTTTTGATATCATGAAACGAGTTTTCAGGAACTTCAACACATTATGATCAGTTTTGAAAGCAAACACGCATCTGAAAAATGTGTCACTAATAGATGACTGTTGTTTGTAAAACTTTTTTTTATAAGAATTTAAAACAAATGACGGAATTGGCGGCCATTATGAAAATGCGAATATTTTGCGCTTCACGAAATGTCACCATTTTACCTTTTTTGACACTAAATAAATTACTTAAGTTGTAATTATGTCGCCACTTTATATCGTAGCAACTTAATAAATATAAACATAAATATATTCAATATTATGAAAAAGAGTTATGCAACAAAGTGGAAAATTATATTTCATTTGTATCCTTTTTACTTACTTGGTGAAACTGAATCTCTTTTGATTTTTTACCCTGTTTTAAAAGTAATGGGACAATAACAGAAGCACATGGACTTCCCATATCCTGACTGTTTTAGAAAGAAATGCACATTTCGTTTTGATCTATTAAATATTAAACAAATATGTATATTAGAACTTTTTTTTATACAAAGTGTTAAGTCTGTAAAATGTTGAAAAAAGAGTATTTTTTCATTACAAAATAAGGGTTAGGGTGACCTTTATCCCTTTCTGAGTTAAAAGAATGAGTTTCAGAAATTTACTTTAATAATTAATCTATTCTGTAAACATCCATATACATTTCTAACATATCTCCCTTCACATTTACTTTGTATATTATGTTGTTTACAAATGTTATCTATAATGATAAAGTCCACCTCTTAACGTAAGGCGGAAAGGGCGAAAATTAAACTGCAGCGGCTTATCGTTGTGACATCGTTTCCTATCGGTCGGTGCCCCCGGACAGGTTTACTACAAAGAGAATATCGAAGTATTAACATACAGCGTTGCTTGAACTGGGATTCGATAAAACTATGTATGAAGACCAGAGAGATAATGTTGAAATGTTGTCTTCTATGACATAACATTATATAAATATATAAATAAGATCAAGTGATTGATTCCAGATTTAGATGAAACCCCATGAATTACGATAATTCCAATTAAAATACGTTTTGGTTTGTTTTATTTTGTTAACATCCTATTAACATCCTTTTAACAGTTAAAGTCATTTAATGACGTGCCTTCATGAGTGTGTTGTGTAAGCGAGCATGTGTGTATGTGTGCCGGAGACAGGATAGGTTGGTGTATTTGCCTCCTTGTAATAGCGCGGATCTGATGGACACTATATAGTGCTATCTCACTGAAACACAATGCCGAAGGCATCCAGCACAGCATTCCGCCCGGTCACATTATAATTACAACTGGTGAACCAGGGTATCTTTCTATGTAAACATATTTACAAATATGTAGATGTGGATTCATCACTGTTCAGTCATCACAAAAGTCAATCATGCATAAAATGTAACATTTAAATTCAGGCACGTGGAGGACACAGAGGGCTGGTAACGATAAAGCAAACCATTCGAAATTAACATAAACTATCTTTTCAAATAACTGCTTAATTTCGTCTTTATTTGCTGATGAATTATAAAAGAAAAATTGCTTTATCATTATAATAAATACTATCCTTTATAGACAACAGACAGAAGACCCAACGATATTCCTACCCTGGGAAGACCTGGGTTGCTGACCAGTCACGTGTAGGTAAGGTCTACAGCCCAACCAACTGGAGAGAGTTTATTCCCCAGCTTGACGACTGCGTGGTCCGTTGCCGGAATCATCCCGACGGATGTCATTACCTCACATTCACAGAGCACCTTTCGGATTGCCGATCTTTCCTTGGCACTGCTGATTCAGAAGTGGCGTTGGCAAATACAACCGTTTGGATGCGTAAGTGATGTTCATGATCCATTCTGTAGAAATACGAAACTAAAGATACTCCACTATATGGTCGGCCATTCACGACTCCGTCGCAGCAAGGGCCACATACGCATAGAGCGATTTGTGTGGTTTGGTTTAATTTTGTTTAACGTCCTATTTACAGCTAAGGTCATTTAAGGAAGTGCCTCCATGTGTGTAGTGTATGCGTATTTGTGTGTGTGTATGTAGGAGACAGGGTATGTTGGTATGCTTGCCTCCCGGTGATAGCGCGGATCTGATGCTGACTTTATATTACTATACTAGAGTGAGCAGATAGGAAAGGGTTTAAAAACGGGAGAAAACCGGGGTACTAGGTGACTTAATAATTTTCTAATCCAATCTTTGGAACGAGATCAGATTGATGAAACACATGGCAAAACGACGAAGCCTTCGATTGTTTAACAATATCGGACGTTAAAACAAATATATATAATTGCTAAACATGTAATTATACTGTTCGGTTCGAGTGGTTTGTTGACATCTTCCTGGTCAGTTCAATAGCTTCTGATGAGTTTAGCCTTCGCTCTGTCACCAATATTCAAATCAACAGACTTGTCTCTAATAATCATTGGTTCTCGCTCAATTAACCAAGCTCTAGCACATCAATGTTGAAATTTGTTCTAAATAATCAAACGTTTGAACATGTATGCGTATTGAATACATAACTACAGACGTCTGATGAAGTTATATACCGTCTTTTATTACATACTTCCTAATACATACGTTTTTTTATATATGCGATACGACACAATTGCTCTTATCCATATCACCCCTCGCCGTATCACACCCCAAAAGCCGTATCAGCCCCCGCCGTATTACACATCACAACCCGTATCAGCCCGCAAAACCCGTATCACAACCCTTTTGTAAATTTTTCGTTTTTCAATATTTCAAAAGAAAAATAGATAATAATAAAGTAACTTTTACTAGTAAGTATGTAATAAACAACCCTCGACCAATAGCAGTCCTCGGGCCTTTGGCCCTTGGGCTGATATTGCAGTCTCGGGTTGATACCGGGTGTGATATGGAAAAAGGCATGTCTTATTCTCTATATTATTCGTATTTTATGTACAATGCATTTGAATTAGGTACCATAGGATGGGTATAAATAACCAAGACTGATATGTTCGATCGTTTTGTCATATGTCATGAAATGGGTTTCTCAGTTTAATTTTGTTACGCTAGTTTAAAGTAAAACATTCTAGGTCGTTCGATAGTCCTTATATAGAACATTTTTAACACTTAATAAGCAATACACTAGCTATTTGTTTATCATTTGATACATGTCCTCGTGCTGACTAAATTCTAATCTTCGTAATTCGATCGATGAGGCCAAACAATGAGCAGCAATACAAACACATGTTTACATATATCTGAACCATACTTCACAAATATGATGCGTTTATATGTTGTGTATCTTTAGCAAATACAGTTCCAATGCATGTCCGCTCTCTATCAGTATGTTCAATAGGTCTCTTGTTAAATTAATGATCTAACAATTCCGTGAACATAATGTCGCTACGCTGTCATTTGAGGTCATCCATGGTTAGGTACTCTGTAAACATTGAAAATTACAAAATAGAACAAAAACCTCATTTGTTGACTCAATGACATGTAAATGGCTGTCATTTGCTAACAAAGACCGTGCACGACAAACCTACTGAACCATACTTGATTTAAAAAGCATTGAGATTAACCATTCTGAACACAATATCTTTATCATATAGTTGATTTATATGCTATTTTAAAGCCTCACAACATCGTTTTTCTTAATATTGATTACAAACTGTGCCTACGGATGCAAAACCGAAAAAGAAAGAGTAGATACATGAGAAAAAATATACATCCAAGTATTGAATAGGAGCAGATGATCGGGTTTTGTCACTTATATCCCTAGCAGAAGACACTTATGCAAACCCTCAATACTTTCGGGGACTTCTCATATCGATATGCTTTGAAGTGTGCCTTGTTGTTTCTATGTCACTTACTCAGTTCTCGCTCTGAGGAACTGACATTACTTGGATTTCTTTGAGTTGAACAGAGAGGCGTATCTTTCTTTATATTGACATATTCTTTCTGTGTTGTTACAAGGGTCTCCGTGTTAATCTGGCGTCTGTTAATGTTTTCAAAGACAATTATGTACACCCAGGTTCTATTTGGTTTTCTTAATTAGACGGCCTCAAGCTGATCTCTAAAAAACAGGTACATGTTATCGTCAGTATACTTACGACTACTCCATTACGTGTTTAATTATCATACCCGTGTTTATCACGACAACACGCAGGAGCTTAAGTTCTTTCATGATTCATATGCATCGTTAAATAAAATGCCTGTACCATGTGCTTTGTTAATAATTAATCAACGTTTCAACCTGTATATCCATGACAACAGAAAGCCAGTTTGGAAGAGACTTGGAGTCGCCAGAGTCGTTCTACTTGATCGTGAAAGAAAATCTGAACCGCGCAAATGCACAAGTGAGTAGTCTTAATAGCAAATCACGCCTGTGTTTATAATTCTAGTAATGTAATATACATTTACAAAACATGTAAAACTCATATAACATTGTTGATCAGCCGACAAATAAATCAAGATGTTGGTGAAGTTATCAAAACTGCAATATAAATTATATGTCCATCTACTATTTCATACAATCTACACTTCAATGTGCACGCATGAATCACAGCACAGGAAAGCACGTCCTTAAATGACCTTTGCTGCTTATAGACACTTATCAAAACAAATGAAACCAAGCCTCTATAACAGCATTACCCACTGTACAGAAGTATTAACTGCGTTAGCTGCTGCTGTGTCAGGCAAAGTCTATCGGCAGAAAATTCAACTATTACATTGTATATGATAAATGTTATTAGAGTGTTACAAGTGATTGTGCTCTTCATCTACACTTTGAATACCGATATATTGAGCTAAACAAGATAGCGATTTGTTTAAATTTTGTTTGCTTAAAATTTTCTTAATTATAATGATATGAAAACGAGGTGGTGACGAACACAAGAAAATTGCATGACATCAAGTATTTTGTATACTCTTTTTCCAGGCGTATTGTGAAAAGGACGGAATTTCTGGACATCTGCTGAAGGTCAACAACGTTGAGGAGAAAGATTTCCTGTACAACAACGGGGCGTTTGATGGTAAATGCAAATCTTCTGTTTATGCACGGGACAAACATGTTTGAATTAATAGATTCCACTGTGGAAGGCATGCGAAATAACCAAATACATACTTCACAATTGGTAGAAAATTAATGATCATTGTTGTATATATCATGTGTATAAATATTGCAATCCGTGATGCACGGTACTGATCGTCATGATTTGTGGTGTGACACTTTGTTCGGCCATTTTATCAAAGCTGCAACAACTGCCACCCTGTGGATGGATGCGGAGGCGAATGCCGACGGTCGATTTCTGTGGAATGTCGGGAGACCAGAACTCGCTTACACGTACTTGGCTTATGGTGAACCCGCCGATACGGCCAACAAAAAGTGCCTAACCATGTCGAAAGCAACCGGAAAATGGGCAAGTGCCAACTGTGCTGCCACCATGCACTTTGTGTGCGAGATGGAGTAAGTATGCCTAAACTGACTATCAAATTCTATGATCAGATACACATCTGTGAGGTTTCAGTGTTTTTAGGTTTGTTAAGGACTAGATAGTGCTAAGTAACACACCATCCTCAAATTGGCAGGAAACATCATATCGGATGCCACAATTAAAACGTTGTTCCTGGCACTAAGCATCCTTTCGATTACTGATTTTTGTGCAGGCATGGTTTGTTTTACTTTCCACATGGGGGACTTATTTATTGTGTCTCGTGTTACCAGAAAGTAACATTTCTATTCGATTTGACCGAGGTGTTACGAATGGGTAAGCTATTTCCTGATTCCACTCGAGATTTTATGGCGTTCATGATTTAATATCCGACGCTTTTAGACTTATGCTCATACTTACCATATGTTTTACTTATGAATCTATTATTCAGAAAGCTTCTACGGGTAGATTGTATAACATATGGATATTTATTTATGCTGCATATCGGATGAAACAAGAAACGTATGCAACATTTAAAATCGCCGAAATCTAGGTTCAGCCTCTAATTTTCTTTCACAGTTCTATCGCTTACTGTTTATGGTTTGTTCCAATTCCATGACTTGTGTTGTTCACTGCGTACGTTAAACAATAGTATCGATATGCCTGTTCTAGTATTTAGCTCGATAATGTCACGTATAACAATTCTCACTTTAAACTCCTTTATTTTTATGGAATAAATTTTCCTCACGATACATATCTTGGTTTTGAAATTTTGCATGAAGGGGAGACAACTAGTCATTTTATGTGTTTGATGTTATTTTTCTTTTCTTTGTAGCAAGCTGTCATGGTAAGCAGACAGACAAATGCACCGTGACCACTTGAGAGTTCCTTAATTTTATTTCCTCTCTGGATTCGGCCTAAGGGTTAACTCTCCCACCTCACTTTGATATATATCCTTGCCTGACAAAGAGTTCTAGTCTAGGAAAGCCATAATTTTTGTGTATGAATTTGGACTTATTTATTATTTATTGCATATCTGAAGGGTATACACTATAATTGTTATTATTAGTACATGATTAACCTCCCATAAACCCCAAAAGGTCTTTAGTGCCAACAGGTGGTCGACAAAAACAAATGCAAAATAAAGACATTAACCAAACGTAAAAATGGGAGACAATAGTTGACTTTAAAACTCAATAGAGAGTGACTAGATAACTTTAATACAAATATAGCGATAAGTTCTGAACAGACACGAGTATCATGTATACACAGTATGGTATTTTAAATTATTTTACATTTGAAAGGTACACAGAAAAAAAGATCAGAAAAGATTAAATGAAAATGGGAATAACTAAAACAAAAAAGAGTAGAGCATGAAATAGCACGTTATCTAATAGAGCTGATACCAATTTCACCAAACACAAGGGCAGGGGGCAATGGAACAATTTTGTTTTTAGTTACATTTTCACTGTGATTTTTGTGATTGTAATAAGTAACAATATTTACATTTTTCGGTTAATTCATTGGTTGCTATATCAAATACGGTTAAACTTACAATTGAATATCTACATCTAAAGGTAGATTCCCATAATGTATAGGTTCATTTTACCACCTATCAGAAAAAGGGTTTGTTTATATTGTGTGTCTAGTCTTATCCGTATTTTTATATGCATGCTTACGTTCGGACAAAGAATCAGAGTGAGAAGGATAGTTTATATAAATTATTGTATCTGTGTGCCGTACGTTCTGCTTACTTAAACAAACCTGCCTATAAATACCGCCGAAGGAAGAGAACTCACTTTTAGAACAAATTAATTTGGAATTTATGGTATGGAGACTTTACAGACATGTGATGATTTTAGAAAACAGTTTTCTTGGAATGATGTCATAATAGAAGTTATCTTAATACGGAGGTATGGTAGTCTAGTGGCAGAACGCCGGGCTCGTTGCGGGTTCGAGTCACGGCACGGCACTGTGTTGTATCTTTGAGCAAGATACTTTACTCCGATTGTTTCAGTGTACTCAGCTGTAAATAGGTACGTGGTTGGGCAGTACTAGAATTGCTGAATGCTAGCAATGAATGCCGAAATGGCAGCACCGGCTATATGCTCCCAAATGAGTTTAGAAAGATATTGGCTAGTTGCAAAGGTCCTATAACCGCGGATAATAATTTGTGAACCGCTTTCAGACGACCTACGCACTAGGTTGTAAAAAAGCGTCATACAATAATTAGTAGTTAATAGGCAAGTGGTATGTATATAGAGTCATATTTTAAGATGGATTTTTTATGATAAATGACTCTAAAGTCAGTAAGTCTCATACAGTATTGTGTTTTGTTTTTGGTAATTAATTGTATATCATTGAACATGTCAATGGGTTTGGAGGAATGCGTTTTTAATGTTTTAAATATTTATTGTTTTTCACAGATTCCAGATTTATTGACTTCTGTGTATGAAATGTACAGAATTGCTTGAAATGTTGCAAAGTCAGAGTATTTTTTTAATAATCATTAATTCAGCAGATCTATGTGAAAGACATTACGTCATACTTATCCTAACTAAATTTGCCTATACAAAGACATTGTTCACGTTAAGATAGGCCAAGAAAGAAGGGAAACCGTGGTCATGCTCGTTAGTTTTCCGTAAGGATAGGCCAGGGAAAGTTCGTGACAACGGGGTCCTATTTGTTTGTGTCCCGTCAGGACAGGCCAATGAAAGTTCGTGACAACGGGGTCCGGGCCTATTTGTTTGTGTCCCGTCAGGACAGGCCAATGACAGTTCGTGAATCCCAGGTATTGGTCGCTTGTTTCTCGTGTGCAGGCTATGTTAGACTGTTGTTACATGAACATGCTATTAATCATCATTATTCTTGATATCAAATACAAGTTTGTTGTTTGTTGAATTTAGATATTAAAGTTTTTTCTTTTAAAACGTCAAAGGAAACACTTGCTTTTGTATAACCGTCGGAAAATACTAGTAACTATTGGACAAAGCCGGTAACGTTGGCAAGACATTGCGTTGTGTGTATGTTGTTTGTAAATGGCATTTTTAAAAGCATTTTCAAAACATATTTACCCAGACGCAAAGTAATCACAACAAAAAATTGACAATTCGACAAAGGGGTTTCCCGTTTTATTTAGAATCACAATACAGTTATAATTCTCTGGTCGCCGAACAATGACCAATATATTCATGGAAAAAATATCAAACTATTTTCAAAGCAAATCACTGGCTATGTAAACAACGATTCTTATTGTTTGGGATTGTTAACGATATGTTGACACATGTCATCGACAATATGGTAATAATGAAATTTCAAAATCAGTTTATGACTCTTTTAATGCATAAACATTTCGAACGCATACGTGTCTAGATTACAAAACAGAAAAATAGATACGCTGCGTATGCAATTATTATATTTGATTTGACTAAACGCAACACATACGTATTTACCCGTATGAGTGCTGTTTCAGATCTGTTACATGTATAAAACATGCCACCATATATCAGTGTGTAAAAACAACACCTTGAGAAAGTTTTCGAACAAACGGAATTTAATAGGAACAGTAATAGAGTAAAATTGCGTTATGAACCACACTCGTTGGATATTATTTTGTATTATTCATGGAAATCATTATAATATTGCTATCAGTATGCAATAAACGTCCAACCTGAATTTCAAGAAAATAATCGTTTCAGTATACTTATTCCTGCCTAGAGGGGTTGATTATATTTTGAACAGAAAGGATCAAATATAGTGTAAATAATAAACAACAGATTAAACAATTAATATCAAAACAACAAAGCAGGCACTATCCCACGTGTCATTGGTCCTCCTTATCAAAGTATAAAGCAATGTTAGATTAACAAACATAACGATATTATGAAGGCAACTGTATAACCTAAAGCCTGAATGGGAAATTGTTTACCTGGTCGTAGAAATATGCGATGCGTTTATGAACTGCTCTCCTTACATAAATTATTGCTAGTTACGTAACGACGTTTGAACTTTTGCTAGCAGTATGTCATTTTTGCTGCTTTTGCCGGGGTTTAACATCCTGGAAACAGGCATGGTCTTATAAAGACGGACGCCGGAAAGAGAGTTAAAAGGACGGAAAAAGGGGGGGGGGGGCAGTATATTAACTCATGACATAGAAGAAAGCATCCGCATCTCCAAACTAGGCGCCTTTTACGATACATATACAGTGGGACAAAGGTGTCAGTTTGGTTTCCTCAGTGATCACTGTACAGAAGACCCGGAAGGAACCACGACGTCCGATGGTGCACATTGCCAACCTCTGCATTATAAATAAATTATGGAGTACTAACAGAAGCAATGCTGATAAATGTAAATATGTTGTAAATATCAATATTATAAAAGAAAATATAACATAATATTCGTATGACGCCAAACAGAGGGACTTTCAAGGTAGAATTCAAATGAAATGCATATATTAAAATTCAACATTTTGATTAAAATCATGGAAATATTGTCACCCAAATTGTATGAATTCCATTTATCATTACTTCTTTGAAAACCTGGCAGTTGTAAGACAATAATCGTGTTTCACTAAAATTAACTATTGTTCTTTCACTATAATATAAAATGTGTTACAGTGCTTTTTTTTTTTTTTATATTTTTGCATTATTTTGTCTTAAAACTTGAATGTATTTACAGAACTATTTTATGTAAAGCAGCTTATATCATATTTTTAACACCAGCGCATCTTGTGAACAAGTTAGAGAGTACACTTATAATGACAAAATTTGAATTAGAATAATTTTGGAAAACATACATTCACAATGTGTTCATTCAATTCATACCGATATAAAAAGGCCTGCTTTGATATCTACCAGAGGACGAGAAATATAGGCAGGCATTTGCTATGCCTAATAAATGCTGGTGTAATATCATTCATAAAAAACCCGAATAAGACATTGTTCGGGAGATATACATTTTCAGTATAAATTTGTTTGGGAAAAATGGCATTCTGGTCATTAAACATATATAATACTTAAACGCCATCGTAAACATATTTACCCCAACACCAAACAACATAACAATAAACAAAAGGTGTTATAGCCAGCGACCACACGTGGGGCAAGCAGACAAAAAGTGACATTTTAATTATAACAATATTAATTTATTGCGAACACTGATTGTCTTTATCTATAAGGACATTTGTTCATTTTTTTCCTGATTGTCCATTCAAATACACAAAATAAAAATAACAATAAAAGCGTTAACACGAGGACAAAATGGACGTGAAGTAGCGTATCTCATACATCAAACCAACATTCATTGCAATTTTCCCTGGCTTAGTCCGTCCCAGTAACACTAAGTTATTAATTATATTGATATGCACTGAAATATATTCACATTGAATTATCATTTAATAAAAGCACTGGCCGAGGCATATTAAGAAGGCAAAAAAAACCCACATCAACGGAACTCTAGACTGATCGTGAATTACTTTAAATGACATAATTGACAAAATAAAATACAACAGGAACCAAGACAAAAATGTATGTTTCATCCGTTAAGACGATTTTAAATAATAAAACAAATAGAAACAATATAAGAGAGTGAACAATCTCTTATCTTTATATAATATAAATCATAATGATATATCCTGTTCCTCACCTTACTTACACAAAGATATCCCAGGGTTCACCGTGATTAATTATTTACTGAATATATCCGTCAACGTGCGTGACGTAAGCACTCTCTGTAGCTAATAGCAAACTCGTGGAATGTATATCCTCGCTTTCAGGACATATTGAAGGTAAACTTTATTGAGGTTAGGTTTAACCATGTGAGTATCGTGCTGCTGAAACCTGCTTGAAACTCAAAGAAAAAAAGCCTTATGTAATGTTTGCTAGAGGTATTAAGCGGAAATTGCAGATAATTGCAAATGGAGTCCCATCAACGTGGTTGTCTAACTTTTCCGAGCCCTTAGCGCGTTGAACCCTGTTACTAAGTTTGAAGACAATCATATACTATTTGCGCGAGTTAATAAACAGAAACGGAAGATAATGACGTTTTTCGTTATTCAAGGGGCCATAACTCCGCCAAATGGAGTCCGCTGTCAGTGGTCATTAAACCTGGTCGAGCCCTTTAGACATTTAACCATGTGACCAAGTTTGAAGAAAATCGATTTACATTTGTTGTAGTTATTGCACGGAAACGAAACGCAACTGATAATGACATTTTTCGTTATTCAAGCGGCCGTTACTCCGCCAAATGAAATCCGCTGAAAGTGGTCAACGAATTTAGCCGAGCCCTTAAGGCATTTAACCCTGTGACTAAGTTTGACGAAAATCGGTTAACATTTGTTGCAGTTATTGCACGGAAACGAAGCGTGACAGACAGACAGAGACAGACAGACAGACAGACAGACAGACAAACCCAAATTAATATTCCCCGTTTCGGTGAAAGCGGGGGATAATAATGTAAAATGCAGTGAGGAATCCCGGATCCTCTCCGTCCCTTTCGTTGTCTCCTTAGTAAGGAAATGTAACATGTAGCAAGGAATCCTGGATTCTTCCAGTTCATTTAGTTGTGTTCTGTATGTATACACTTTGATTTCGATCTTGGCGATGATGATGCGGTTTCGCTAATATGCCCGATTGTGTAAATATAAACCTTGGATCTAAAGGTGATTTAGTTGTTGGTTTTATTTTACTTAACCTCCTTTTAACACCTAACATCATATCAGGGCATTTCTTAATGTGTGTTATATATGTCTAGCTATCTGTCTGAGTGCTGGAGGCAGGGTTTGGTCCTTCATTTTTATTTCTGCGATACCGCAGATCTGATAGCGACTTTTAAAGACCAGTGGATATCAGAATCACACTGACATATAGAAATTGTCGCATATTTATAAAATTTCAGAACATCAAGGTATATTAAAGCTATCTCATGTCAATAGATGCAATGAGAGGACAATTACATCCTAAACATCATTTCGTTATAAGGTCCTGAAGAATGTCTTCTGGTAGATGATATTTCACCCGGTCTAGTGAAAACTGCCATAGTGATTCCTGGTCTTCTTTTACCCTGATATATAGAAATGAAAAAAAAAAAATTTTAAATGTCTAAACATGTAAAAGATCTTTTAGAAAAAGTGGAAATAATGCATACCATAGAGTCAACACACAACAGTAAAACTCAATGTCGAAATAAAAACCACATTTCTCAAAAGATTAATGATATTATGAATTGTGCAGTTATTATTAACTGGAAAAACGCCAAAACATATGAAAAGGTATCATGATTCCCACATCATAACTTGTCCATGGAATAAGCAAAAACCTTACTTGATGCTGGTGTACAAAGTATTACATCTGAAGGACATAATTACCGACTAACGTACCAAAGGCTAAAGTAACAGTGACCTAGTTATACTTTGCTCTGCTCCGTTATCTCATGATATACAACCAATCACACCATCCGATGTGAACAAATCGTAAAAATGAGATAAATGTACGAAATTTACCGGATGATATAAAATATCAATGTACTTCATAAAATATACACCTGTCACTAAGGGGTGATACAGTCGACATCAGATCCCAATTATCACAAAAAGGCAACTTCATTAACATACCCTGCCTCCGGCACACATACACTATACATATGGAGGTACGTGGTTGTTGATTGGATGTTTAACTCTTTACCTACAACGAACCACAGATAAATCTATATAATACCTGTACACTAAAATGCTTTAGATAGCAATCAAAGGGAGGTCACTCGAGATGCATTAGAGTAGTTATGGCACATTTCCCCATTATCCAACTAATGGACTTAACAAAGAATAAAGTAAACTTATGGAATATGCACACGACGTATCAGATGCATAAAACCAACGTTGCTCAGTACAAACACTGTTTTACTCCGCCATGATTGCAAACACATATTTCCTCCACCATAAGCTGAAGTCAGTTACATTTTCAACTGATGATACCAAAGTCGCACGCAGGGAACGGGATCTACTAGATAACATCACGACATGGCGTGCATTGGAACAAAAACTCTATATAGACATACAAGTTACATAATTTGGTGGGTTGTAATAAGGGAACAAACACAAGCTTACTTACAGATTATTGCGATAGTCTAAGCAGATATAAAAAATGGCAGGGTAGATGGTATGCACAAATAACTGAGACCTCTTTAGTCATTGTAAAGGATAACATTCACATCTTACATCTAACAGAACTTTTTATAGGAGAAATACTAATAATGTGTTTACAAGATTGGTGTAGACATTGTATGTTTTGGTTATATACCTTGCGTGCGATCTGATGGTCTCTGGTTTTGAATTGTTGAAGTAGACATCTCGGACACCGGTCAGTTCTGGGTTCACTACTGTATTAATAGACGTCCAGGCCCCCTGTTCTACGGACGTCGATAATCCTGTTCAAACAACAAACAATGCCATAAACTCAGCTAATATCAAGTCCATTGATATTATACTGGGTTAACCTCTCTTACATAAAGTCCAGTGATATTATACTGGGTTAACCTCTCTAATATCAAGTCCAGTGATATTATACTGGGTTAATCTCTCTAGTATAAAGTTCATTGATATTAAACTGGGTTAGCCTCTCTAATATCTAGTCCATTGATATTATACCGGAATAACCTCTCTAATATCTAGTCCATTGATATTATACCGGGATAACCTCTCTAATATCTAGTCCATTGATATTAAACTGGGGTAACCTCTCTAATATCAGGTCCATTGATATTACACCGGGATAACCTCTCTAATATCTAGTCCATTGATATTATACTTGCGTAACCTCTCTAATATCAAGTCCATTGATATTAAACTGGGGTAACCTCTCTTATTTCAGGTCCATTGATATTATACCGGGATAATCTCTCTAATATTTAGTCCATTGATATTATACCGGGATAACCTCTCTAATATCTAGTCCATTGATATTAAACTGGGGTAACTTCTCTAATATCAGGTCCATTGATATTATACCGGGATAACCTCTCTAATATCTAGTCCATTGATATTATACTGGGGTAACCTCTCTAATATCTAGTCCATTGATATTATACTGGGGTAACCTCTCTAATATCTAGTTTGAATAATACGGGAAGGTAATACAGAAAACAAAAAGACACCAAAATCAGTACACAAAGCTTACCAAAACGGCAACGAGAGTAACAGATGACACACCATAGCGAACCATGATATGCAATGTTCACTAACAAACAACCCACAGAAATGAATATTTGCCACGAAAAATGTCTTACTGTACAACATGGATACGTTATAATTCAAAACTTCTGCGATTGTATCAACTAAATTGTGTCAGACACCAAGTTCTAAGACATGCTGCTGAAGTATATCACGATCAATACTTTAACAGTATTGATAAGCTTAACGGGCCCATCATCACAGAATATGTCATTAGGTCCAACAAGTGGTCGACAAAAACAAATATAAAGTGAAAACATCAAACAAACTTAAAAGTAAAACACAAACGACAATTTGAATATTGAAAGTGGCTATGGTGACTCAAATGTTATTAAAAAGACCAACAGCTTTCAGATAGCCGAAAATTGAAGAGACAGTTATGTTCTCGAAAAGAGATTTAAGACCTGTAATGTTATTATAGAATTTTTTTCTCGAGTTCACAATAATAAGTCAAACCGATTAAATGTATCTACTTCCTAACTGGCACATACCTAGACAATTAGCACAGGATATCGCTCCCCTGTATAAAAACGAGGCCTGTTGCTGGAATTCTTCCATCATATTGGTTCGTACAATACCCGGATGTACACACGTGACTGTTACGTCAGTCTGGTTTAATATTCTGTTCATCTTGTACATCAGCATTATCTGTAATAATTGATAAAAATATCGTTAACGTTAGTATGGACGGGCGTAGGCTATGCTACATGTAGCAATTGAAATAATATCAGTATGTAACAGCGAATTTTACCATAGGGCTTATTTAAAAGAATAGAAAAAAGAAGTTTTATAAAATAAAAAGATGAATATCAGAATAATATTCAATGATTTCTGAACTAGCATAATCAAATATCAATATAGCATCGGATCCACCATTCGATTTACAGAAACTAGTTGAAATTTAAAATGAAGGAAAAACCAATTTAATAATGATTAAAGCACACCCTGTACTGCAAATAAATCAATTATATCAAAACGTAGATCGGAATATTTGAAATAAAGTCTTATGCCTTCAAGTTACATAAATTAAACAATTGTTAGCACATGTATACTAGTCTTTGTTACCAGATATAGTTTACTCTTCTGGTAGTAGTAGTCACTCTTGTATGTGTCCGATGTTTCCTGCTCGGCATTTATTTTCTTTATATCAAATTTTCCAGACTTGTACCTGTATAATACACCATCAATATCTTGATAATACTATATTTATTGGAAAATAGAGTAAGTCAGTATGTGTTGGCAAATGTTTCAAATACTCAGAAGTTTTATAGAGATATTGTTTCTGTAACGAAAGGTTTTCATCATATGGAAGGGATTAATAGTTAGTCTGAGTGCAGTAACACTCCTAAAACACAATTTTAATAAATCGATCAACAACTCATCGTCAAGGTTTCCTATCCCACATCTTCTATTGTAATTAGTTAATTGACGAATATTGGGATACCCTGTCATATACTGTATATTATACATCGGTCAACAATACATTGTCAAGGTTTCCTATCCCACATCTTCTATTGTAATTAATTAATTAACGAATATTGGGATACCCTGTCCTATACTTTATGTTATACATCGGTCAACATTACATCGTCACGGTTTCAAATCCCACATCTTCTATTGTAATTAATTAAGTAACGAATATTGGGATACCCTGTCCTATACTTTATGTTATACATCGGTCAACATTACATTGTCAAGGTTTCCTATCCCACATATTCTATTGTAATTAGTTAATTGACCAATATTGGGATACCCTGTCATATCCTTTATATCATACATCGGTCAACATTACATCGTCAAGGTTTCAAATCCCACATCTTCTCTTGTAATTAGTTAATTGACGAATATTGGGTACCCTGTCATATACTTTATACTATACATCGGTCAACAATACGTTGTCAAGGTTTCAACTCCATCATCTTCTATTGTAATTAGTTAATTGCCGAATATTGGGATACCTTGGCATATATTTTATGTTATATATCGGTCAACATTACTTCGTCAAGGTTTCAAATCCCACATCTTCTATTGTAATTAGTGAATTGACGAATATTGGGATACCCTATCATATACTTTATGTTATACATCGGTCAACAATACGTTGTCAAGGTTTCAACTCCATCATCTTCTATTGTAATTAGTTAATTGCCGAATATTGGGATACCTTGGCATATATTTTATGTTATATATCGGTCAACATTACTTCGTCAAGGTTTCAAATCCCACATCTTCTATTGTAATTAGTTAATTGACCAATATTGGGATACCCTGTCATATCCTTTATATCATACATCGGTCAACATTACATCGTCACGGTTTCAAATCCCACATCTTCTCTTGTAATTAGTTAATTGACGAATATTGGAATACCCTGTCATATACTTTATGTTATACATCGGTCAACAATACATTGTCAAGGTTTCCTATCCCTCATCGTCTATTGTAATCGTTTAAGTGACGCATTCTAGGATATCCTGTTATATATTAGATATCATACATCAGTCAAAAATTCTTTGTTAAGGTTTCCGATTCCACATCTTCTATTGTAATTATGTCGGTGACGCATACTTGGATAAAGATACCCGTAATACGTACTACACGGTTTATAAATACACCCACACCACATCACCAGGTACAGTGGGTTATAGGTTAACTTAACAATGAACCAGTCACGCACCCCTTGTCGGGGTACATTGTACACCAAACCTTACAACATATGAAGTTTATATATATATATAATATTTGTGAAAGATGGACCCTTATTCATATATTATCAGGTATTTTTCTGCCTGATCATGACCTATGCTGACTGAAATGTATTACATACATACCAGATGCAAATGTGCATATTTACATTCAAATTTTAAAACAATAAAACTATAATGTTGAAACACTTTGCGAGAGAAATTACGGCTAATTATAATCCATGTGAATTTGTTCTCAGCGAGCTTAATTAAAGTAGGATACAGGAAGACAACAGGAAGTAAAAGTCGTTGCAAATTAAAGGAAACTCGTATTGAACACACAGAGACGAATCGAAAGTAGATATAGGTAAAACAGAGTAAATGATAAAAATAAACCGATATCACCTAGTCACACAAGAAGAAAGTAAAAAAAAACATGTTTACTGTTCCAAAAGTCGTCACTCCATATACAACAAACACTGAACTATTTATAGCACGCAGCCAATGAACTTCCTCGCAGAACTGTCCTATTGCTGGACACTGTAGAGTGATACTGGGAATTCCCAATATGTTACTTCCTGAATAACTTTTGTATATATAATTTCGGTGAGGAGTTCCGTATTCATTCTGTAGATTGAGGTGTGCAACCCTGTTTTCCTGCTGAACTGTGATTCTACCTTGTTACGGGTATCACCACAACCATGGCTGACGGGAAAACGGAAGATAATACCAACTTCTTGTATCTTGTCTATCAATACCGCCATGAGCAACTGCGTTCAACGTTGTAAACAAATACTACTAATGTCAGAATATACAGCGTCTGTTATTAAGGAATCACAGACCGTGTCTAATCGAGTTACCGACCTAGGAGGCACAGTCTGCGAGGTTTATTATATACAGTCATTTACACTTTGCCGGCGGAGTGGTTTAACATCAATACATGTCAGTAAGGATATATTTTAAAGCATAACTACAGGAATTGATAAAATTAGGAGTATGCATCAACAAATACATTTCGCTTTGTGTGTTTCTACCGCAACTCACGTTACTATCTTGTTCGTTATATAACTAAACCCAAAGTTAAATCATACAAATAATCCGAGTGCCAATTGCTTGAACTCCGATATCCGTACCTATTGTCACTAAATATCAGTTCGTTGTGTTCTTAGGTCCTCCGTGACCCACATAATTATACAGGGTACTGGATTTAACAGGAGACATCACGAAGATGGCACATGCTGTGTGTGACACACGTAAAACTCCGGGTGTAACGGAAGACATAGGGACGGTGTGACATGTTGTGTGTGACACACGTAATACTCCGGGTGTAACGGAAGTCTTAGCGACGGGTGTGACATGCTGTGTGTGACACACGTAATACTCCGGGAGTAACGGAAGACATAGGAACGGGGGTCACATGGTGTGTGGTACACACGTAATACTCCGGGGGTAAGGAAGACATAGGAACGGGTGTCACCTGGTGTGTGGTACACACGTAATACTCCGGGTGTAACGGAAGACTTAGGGACGGGTGTGACATGCTGTGTGTGACACACTTAATACTCCGGGTGTAACGGAAGACATAGGGTCGGGTGTCACATGCTATGTGGTACACACGTAATACACCCAATTTATCGGGATACAATGATACCCGTACCTATTGTCACTAAATATCAGTTCGTTGTGTTCTTAGGTCCTCCGTGACCCACATAATTATACAGGGTACTGGATTTAACAGGAGACATCACGAAGATGGCACATGTTGTGTGTGACACACGTAATACTCCGGGAGTAACGGAAGACATAGGAACGGGTGTCACATGGCATGTGGTACACACGTAATACTCCGGGTGTAAGGAAGACATAGGAACGGGTGTCACCTGGCGTGTGGTACACACGTAATACTCCGGGTGTAACGGAAGACTTAGCGACGGGTGTGACATGCTGTGTGTGACACACTTAATACTCCGGGTGTAACGGAAGACATAGGAACGGGTTTAACATGGTGTGTGGTACACGCGTAATACTCCGGGTGTAAGGAAGACATAGGGACGGGTGTGATATGTTGTGTGTGACACACGTAATACTCCGGGAGTAACGGAAGACATAGGAACGGGTGTCACATGGCATGTGGTACACACGTAATACTCCGGGTGTAAGGAAGACATAGGAACGGGTGTCACCTGGCGTGTGGTACACACGTAATACTCCGGGTGTAAGGAAGACATAGGAACGGGTGTCACCTGGTGTGTGGTACACACGTAATACTCCGGGGGTAAGGAAGACATAGGAACGGGTGTCACCTGGCGTGTGGTACACACGTAATACTCCGGGTGTAACAGAAGACATAGGGTCGGGTGTCACATGCTATGTGGTACACACGTAATACACCCAATTTATCGGGATACAATGATACCCGTACCTATTGTCACTAAATATCAGTTCGTTGTGTTCTTAGGTCCTCCGTGACCCACATAATTATACAGGGTACTGGATTTAACAGGAGACATCACGAAGATGGCACATGTTGTGTGTGACACACGTAATACTCCGGGGGTAACGGAAGACTTAGCGACGGGTGTGACATGCTGTGTGTGACACACGTAATACTCCGGGAGTAACGGAAGACATAGGAACGGGGGTCACATGGTGTGTGGTACACACGTAATACTCCGGGTGTAAGGAAGACATAGGAACGGGTGTCACCTGGTGTGTGGTACACACGTAATACTCCGGGTGTAACAGAAGACATAGGGTCGGGTGTCACATGCTGTGTGGTACACACGTAATACACCCAAGTTATCGGGATACAATCCTCCGTCACTCATTTTTTGCCGGTTTTTCCTGTTCATAACCTTTTTTCCATTTTTACGTATCCTGAGTACCCGCTGTTTACGTTTCCGGTACTGACACGACTTTAGTATGACATATCATATTTGTCAGCGCGAAAATTGACTTTGTTGTATTTTTGACCAGATTATGTTCACCTATATAACACCTAGAGGCAGCTGTTGTCTACGGTAGAATAGAAGAGTTTCTGTTTCTTATTTATGTGGAACACAAAGAACACAACTTGAATCTCTGCCCTCATATAGGACGCAAAGAGTCCGTCTCTGTATATTATACGTTCGTTTTATTATTGTATTTTTATGCCATTGTGATAAAACCATTGTTTGATATTTTATGATATAAGTTGTTTGTTTGGGGGTTTAACGTTTATGCAACAGACAGTGTCATATAAAGACAGATTTCTCGGGAAACAACGCTGAACCGAAATAGTAAGGAGGTGAAAAATGACAATAGATCCCAGGTGTTACAATAGAGGAAGCGAATCAATGTTAGCGTCTACAGTGTCCCATGAACAGAAAACAGACGGAACTCCCCGATATCCGTTAGTCGCCTTTTACGACATACTGACAGATCAAGCAGGTCTCTAAATACAAACAAATGTTCGAGTACGGTTTTAAGTTCTACTACATCGGCGCCTAACGCAAAGTTAACCGATATACGCTACTGGCGCGGTGGTAACTTTACCGTTACTTAATGATTCCAATCTGTATTTATTCCAGCATCCATAGATATGTGTCACGAGCCAAAACTGTATTAATATCAGCATAATAGACCAAGGTGAAATTCCCTATACGTACAGCATTTTCATTCATTTGTCTGCATTACATACCGTGTGTATCGTTAAGTTGTACAGCAAGTGTTTTAAAATACTGTACACGCCACACTAAATTCGGTTAATTTCTTTCATTTACCATTCTTATAGTCCCACATTGTCTATCATAGATTTGTGAAATATTGTGAACATAATATAATCATGATATCCTAAGTTGTGTATATAGTTTCAACAATGGCTTCCTGACCTAGTTTTGATATTTGTATATATATAAATATATAACTTGTCCACACTGTTGGAATTACTTCTTTATATAAAGTAATACCTACTTAAAAGTGATCATAAGATCTGTTTTTATAGACAGCTACCGCTGTTACGAGGCCTACGTTTGTCACTCAAATTCAGAGAAGGATATGAAAGTGATCCACCAAATATCCGACACACTTGAGCAGTCGCCACACCATGCACACCTGTGTCTACCAGAGAGAGGCATGGCTGACAGCATTGACGACGATGAAAGGTGTAAACTGATACCATAAACTTTTCTCTAGTGCATATTCAATCAATTTCCCTAAACGCCTGTTTCCAGTAGGATTGACTTATTTGTTTAGGGATTTTTCAACAGCTACGGCAAAATAAAGACAATGTCCACAGATAAGAGCGACTCACTGAAATGACATCGCCTGGACACTCGGTGTGTTATTGAAGGATTGTTTTTCATTTTGTGAACGTTTATTGGAGTGTAACATACATTGGGGGTCCAACATGTTTTTTGCTGCACGTTGGTAAATAACCTTGTTTTGAAAAAAATACGTAAATATCCCGTCTCTGTAGTTTAAGTTTTCGGTTTCTTGATTATCAGTCAATATCTCAGAAACGAAATACGATTTTGTATGTCATATAAATCATGTAATAATGACTGCGAAATGAAAAAAAAACAAAAACGAATTACCTTATGATGTTATATGTGTATTCTGAACACGGAATCAATTTCAATAAACCTTGTGATCCCTGTTGTGTTTAGTTTATACGAGTTTCTTGAGGGTACCTAATACGTCGGTTCTTTTTCAAGGTCGGATTGTTCCTGTTATGATAGAGAAACCGTGCAATATTACTGATATTCGCAAACCTCTCGTTACCATTGACTACACCAGGGAAGAGGTGCGGTGTTGGTTCTTCTCTCGACTAGCTACTTCGCTAAAGCATTAATTGTATTAGGAATGAACGGCTGCGAAGTGCCAAGTGAAATACCACGGCTGGACATTTTGTTCATCGTATTGGAGCTAGTCAGAGCTTAAAAGTTATGACGTCATTTGAACATAGAAAGAAGGTGTCTTACCCGCGTCCAAATAACACTGACACCTTAAGTGGACGCTTTGCACACTTAACAGACACATGGCATCATGCATTGAATTAAATAATATATTGTGTAATAATTTGCAGTACTTCTAGTTACGCAATAGACGGAGAGGGCAAAAGTAAAATTCAGAAGGAATATACCACAGCAAGCGTCAATCACCACCACACTCAGGAAAAAGCTTTCACGACGTCGACACACAGTGACAGAATATTACCTGAAAGTCGTTTCGATAAGACAGCAAAAAGAAGCGAGGACACGAGAGACCAACAGAAAAAACCTGATACCTAGGAACTAGCTCTGGAGTAGCGAATCAGTTTTGACAAAGGCTTACCGCGGGAAACGGCACTCCTAATCAGGAAACCAAAGTCATCGCCTTTGTTATAGTGTCTAACTCAGTTGGTGATATAGTCAGTTGAACCGATCACAATACACGGCCGGAATAACTTATGTTAGCTTCCATTCGACCTATTTTTGTCAATACGATTGTAATGCAGTCACTTTAATATTATTTTCCCACCATACTGGTACATCCGAATAAAAATCCATTCACTTTAACTGTCTAATATATCATAATACCAAACATCATCACAGATAGGTAAAAAAAATTCTAAAGATTAGTCACAACTCAAATCACGTTTTTGTTGTCTTTATGTTGACATCATCAGTGTTATATGTTTGTGCATTTCAAAATCGGGGTAGGTGATCTGCCAGTACACCCCTGAATATCAGAAGGTATTTAATTACGTTTACAGCACTAAACAGTTTGTTTTGTATTGTTTAACGGCCCATCGTCTTTTTGAGTCATTTCGGGCCAAACAACAATGTCAAAAAAAGACATTCACAACAATGTAATATATGAAAATCAAGAACAAAAGGTAAAATGTGTAAAAGATGTCAAAATGTATCAACAGCAAATAAATTGTTATGAACTATATCATATCTTATTATATAGATAAAATGAATGTAAATAATCATAGATTAATTGGACATAAACTGTATCAAATAAACGTTTCCTAGTGGCTACATTAACATCTATCACGTATTTGTTTGAAATCAGCGCAATCAATCATAAAGTGTTTGACTGTAAATGGTTGATCACATGCACGCAAATAAGATTCGTCTTCTTTATGTAAAATGTAAATGTGTGTGATGTAGGTATGACCTATGCGTAGTCACAAGAAGAACGCTATTATGTGTTTGTGTCAAAGCCATAAACCGGTCAAAAATGGAATATCTTACCATAAACTAGACAGGAACACTATTCGACAATCCCGTCCAGACATTCTCATCACCGGGAGTAGACTCACAGCAATCAAGAAGTGACTCAGGTAGTTTACCTTGTAATATATAAATAGCATGATAAGACGACTCGAAGACTTATTATCATTTAATATCGGTAAAGAGTGTAACATTATAGACAGTTTCCTGCACTGCACATTATGTGTCTTTGTGTTATTCTCATTTGGAAAACATGTTCATGAATATTGTAAAATTCAATCCAAGACGTATCTCTTGATTTTTGCTTTATTACTATATCCTTCCGTACATACTGTTATTATGCACACAAAAATAGTAAAAAGAGTTATCGTGAATATCACTGCCTCCTGCATACATACGTGTGTGCACGCATGCATTACACACATGGAAACAAGCACTGCAGTGATATCGACTGTTGATATGATGTTAAATCACATAACACCAAATCCAACGGGGCACGATGTAGATTGGTATCTTAACGGTTTCCTCTTTTTTAAGATTATCACAGTTTTAAAGACTGATTAAATCTGGGTTAGCGTCAACAACTAGTCAGTGAGTACGGCCGGGACATACCAGAGTCCTTAAAATGGTTATTATTAGTTCATGTCTATCTTTCAATATTTAGGGTAGTGGCAACAAGTGGTGTTTATCATTGGCAGTATATTGTGCCATGCTTAGTGTCTATGGTAAGGTATTTTAGTGAGGTAGAACTAAATAATCGACGTCAGATCTGCGCTATCGAAAAAGCACACATACAAAAAGGTTCGCATGAAAACAAAAACAAAATCAACGTACCTGAAACAACAGCTCATTTCCATCTTCCGTTAAAGCTAAAAAACAAAGAGAGAAATGATATAATTTGTAACGACGCTTCACTTCTTGTGAAAAAGTGACACGCGACTGTACACATGATACATATATTCCATGATTTTTCCTTGACGGTTTTAGTGATCTAGGCACAAGCATTCATATTCCTGGTATACATTGTTGTAATATTTTATTTGGAAAATTATGAATACCACATAGAGTCAACGTAACGATGGGTTTTACTTAAACTCAAAACTTTAACGGTGAAAATGATAACGTTGGTTTATTTATTTCAGTATTATATGTTGACAGCCAAAATCCGATATACTGAATTTTAATCTCCCTATATAGACCTACTCCTATTAGTAATTGTGTTTAATCCCCCGCACCAGCACAGAAATACTTACTCTTTTTGACGGTATTAATCCCTGCGTTACATAATAGTACATGCAGTTGTCTTCCAGACGCTTTGAATTCTTCTATAAATTCCTGCACAGATTTAAGTGACGCACAGTCCAGCTTCATAAACTCTACACACAGTTTGTCGTAATGAGCAAGGCCTAGGGTTCCCTTCTGTTTTTCATCTTGAAACTCTTGATTCATATCCTGGATTGCCTACAAGAAACAATAAGAGTTTTAATCAATTATTAACTTCACTAGTCCGGCCATACCTAGGGGAGTTAGTGAATTGTTCCTGTGTGTTGCTACTAACTTTACGTTTATATACATTAATTTTAGTTTTTATTCCCGTGTTTTTCTCAAATGCAACAACCTACTTACCCCGATGGCTTTATGTTCGGACCGACAGGCAATAATCACAGTTGCCCCCATCATAGCTATCCATTTCGCCGTTTGATAGCCGATACCTACAAATAGTATACAAGATATTACATAACAAACACAATGTTATCTGGATATTACGCTGTAAAGTAGCTGCCCTCCTTCGGGAGGCAGGGTAGTCCAGTGAGAACGCCGGGCTCGTGATCGAAGGGTTGTGGGTTCGAGTCACGGCACGGTGTTGAATCTTTAAGCAAGATACTTCACTCCGCTTGTTCTAGTCTACTCAGCTGTAAATGAGTACGTGGTTGGGCAGTGCTAGAATTGATTAATGCTAGCTGTGAGCGCCGTAATTACAGCACCGATGGTATGCTCTCCAATGAGTTGAGAAAGATAATGGCTGAATGCAAAGGCTCTATAACCACGGATAATAATTTGTGAACTTTGATACGAACTAGGTTGTGATATAGCGGTATATAAGAACCTCGAATTATTCTTCGAATGATATCCAATGTTACCATTTTTCATCACAAGAATGATGACGTCGACACGGGGCCTGGCATTCATAGCCAATAGCTGAACTTGAAATGGATATAAGTGGAAGTGGAATAAAATAAATAATTTTCGGGAAAATGTAATTATCTACCACAAACTTGTATTGCGATGTCAAGCCTCCCGTATGGTTGGTTGGTTGGTTAGTTAGTTGTACAGGATTGAACATATTATTAGCGGCTATAAAGTATTTCATAGATTTGTTGGATTATTCGTTCTTCAGTATTTATGCACTTGACAGCTATCGTGCTAAAGCTCCACTGGAATTTAACGCTAAACGCCTGCTTTGTTATTATTTTCATTATTAACATGAACTTTGCCCTTTTTACATCCCCATATATAAAAACGAAAAAACTGATAGTAATGACCAAGTGATAACAGAGAACGCTTTATACAAAATACCAAATGAGGTCGATTCGCGTACAAACACAATAACGGGCACTTTAGAAAATTATTAAATAGAAGGATATCAAAAACGTCAATAAATACAAATCTAGAGAGAGGATGAGGGATAAGGAAGGTTATGTTCTGCACCTGGCCTACCGTATATAGATAATAAATACACACAGCCTTTTACATGAATACGCGAAACAGTCTATCCAGAAAGTTGTACGATGTTATGTTGATATCTCCGCTTTAAACTCAAACATGTTTGATGTGTAATTGTAATCTTATATTTTTTAGAGAGAAAGAGAAAAAAACTGCGTAATCAAATTTTATGTTTAAGAGCGACCACTCAGAAAGCAGAATATAAAATAATAGGTTATTCATTTTGAAGGTATTATTGTTTTCGAAAATGCTGTATGTTAAAAACTTGACTTTGCTAATAAAATTCAAACTTCATAAAGTCTGGTCATCTGTTACATGTTATATAAATGTCGTTACTGAGGTTAGTAATAACACTTATAATGTACAACATTTAAATAGCGCCCTATATAGTTTGTAAAATTATTCTAAAACGCTTTACCACATACTGATAGTAGTATTAGTTATAATTGTGAAACAAAAATAGGTTTGCAATCACCATTATACATTAAACCAGAGGATAATCATAACAATATGCACAAACATGAATAAATACATGAGGGGTTGTATTTACACGACGTCTGTAGAATAGTCTAAAATGCAGACGTGAAGAACTAATGTTGATAATGAATTGATCACTTCATGATGCAATTTTCCTAATATGGTATTAGTTTAAACAATTCTAAATAACGCCTTCATCGCGGACCCAATCTTTGGTTTGGTTTGTGTTTGCTTTACATCCTTATTAACAGCTACGGTGATTTAGGATTTTGGTAGTGGAGGTTAACCGGAGTACCCGGAGAAAAAAACACCCACCTGTGGACAGTACCTGGTAACTGCCCCACGTATGCCTTGAACCTGCGTCCAAGTGATGGAAGGCTAGTGATGGTAGACGGTCACACGCCTTAACCACTCGGCTATTGCGTCCAGCCTCTATCCCTTATGTAATTATCTTTCTTTCAACCTTTGATTTGTCTTGATTAGTTTTTCTACCCATCAACATTTTAAGCCATTAAGGGTTCCAAATTACAATACAAATATATGTTGAAAAAGAAATATATCATACTAACACTAAGGACGTTAAAATATTTACATGTTAAAAAACCACTTCATAGCAAAATATTTGGTATCATTCTTTCCAGAGTATAAAATAATACATCAGCATACGTTTCACCAAAGATTCTATGGAAAAGAGTTTTAAGATTCGGATTATCATGCTTTACAACAAGCACATGTCATCAGTTGGATGCTCAGATTAGTAAATGATAAAGTACTGACTTTACTATGTATTCGGCCTTACCCGGGTGGATGCTTACTGTTGATAAGTACCTATTATTTGGAATTGAATCTTTTACGAGTGACTAACTAGGTGGTGTAGCCGGCGTTTTCTTACACATGAGGTCATTGTCACGGTCACGGTACGAGTCTAGGGTTTTTTCGGGTAAATATTTACTTTACTCTTAAACGAGAGGAGCATATTTACAGTCAAGCAACGATGTCGTATATCAGTGTCCTGATCTCAGTGCTATATGACCGCGTGTAAACAAAAGTAAAACGATGTCAAATGGTAGATCGATTAATGTAAAAGGGGCACAGTTTGGTTCGACTTCAATTGCAAAAAAACATTGCTGGTCAATTGTTATCACCGCATTGTATCCAGAAGACGAAATCATGTCTTGCAAGACACCATAATTAATAGGACTTTGAACAATATAAAACCAAAACAACCCACAAGTTATGCCGACCTGTCTTTTATAACTGAAACCGAATAACAAATGTAGCACTTTTATCGACACTTGTTCTGAGGAACAGTGTCAGGGGAAAAATGTGATAAAGAATGTTAAGTTCATACTACATTAGAAACCCTTACCGACCAGGATTTAGGTTTTTCGACATGCGACAATATCGTTGATTATGTTTCATAAAAGACTACCATGAGATATACCTTATTTACACAATTGTTTACAACCCCGACATATCTCTTCATAGTCGTCAGGAATCAGTCGACTAACGCCTTCCGGGCCGTCGGGATACAAACTTTGCCAAATGCATTAGACCTGACGCTGGACTGAGTTTATCATTGTCATGTCTGGCTCCTGTTATCGAACAGCTGGTAGGCTAAACTTCCATGTTCGGTATATCTATCGTCGTGTCAGTGTGTATTCTTTGATCATGTGTAATTGGTTTCCGGCTTGTGAATAAACCCAGATTCTGGTAGATGTGTTAGTTATTATCGTGTCATTAAATGCAGAAGTGAACATTACCGCTTTGACCTGTTTGCTGCGTTCGCCAGCGCTCAAGAGAGCTCAAGTACTTGTATTCTAGAGTTTTAAGTGCATGCGCTACATTGTTTTACTGTATTTAACAATATGGTCCAAAATAAAATGCTGCCTCCGCAAAACTTCCGCAACAGTGTGAATATATAACGTGATTAAAGATGTTTAACGCCCATCGACAAAAAAACCATGTATAGTATATATCGAGCAGCGCAGTCCATTATATATATTTATGAGAGTTCGATATGTTATCCGGTCTTATTGCATTTTAATACGCTTCTGTACACCATTTCTACGAGTATGTATGTTGTGCATGATCCATACGGTGTATATGCACTGATACAGGACGACTTTATTTTAAGAATGAAATATATTTTACTTGTCTTATTTATACAAAATAGATCAGTATTTTTAAACATGGCAACTTTCGATCTACAACATGGACGGAATGTTCGACTAACATGTGCTAAGTGCCTTTATCTATGTATTTTCATTCGATATTTCAAAAGAATTAAACGAACAGATAGTATCATAGTTTCGACTGGTCTAGTGTTACAATGTGAAGCATCATAACAACAGCTACGGCAACACAACGACAGCTACGGCCACATAACAACAGCTAACAACAGCTACGGTCACATAACAACAGCTACGGCCACATAACGACATCTACGGCCACATAACAACAGCAACGGCCACATAACAACAACTACGGCCACATAACAACAGCTAACAACAGCTACGGCCACATAACAACAGCTACGGCCACATAACGACATCTACGGCCACATAACAACAGCTTACAACAGCTGCGGCCACATAACGACAGCTACGGCCACATAACGACAGCTACGGCCACATAACAACAGCTACGGCCACATAACGACATCTAAGGCCACATAACAACAGCTAACAACAGCTGCGGCCACATAACGACAGCTACGGCCACATAACAACAGCTATGGCCACATAACAACAGCTAACAACAGCTGCGGCCACATAACGACAGATACGGCCACATAACAACTGCTACGGACACATAACGACAGCTAAGGCCACATAACAACGGCTAACAACAGCTGCGGCCATATAACAACAGCTACGGCCATATAACGACAGCTACGGCCCCATAACAACAGCTACGGCGACATAACAACAGCTGCGGCCACATAACAACAGGACAGCTACGGCCACATAACGACAGCTACGGCCACATAACAACAGCTAAGGCCACATAACGACATCTAAGGCCACATAACAACAGCTAACAACAGCTGCGGCCACATAACGACAGCTACGGCCACATAACAACAGCTACGGCCACATAACAACAGCTAACAACAGCTGCGGCCACATAACAACAGCTACGGCCACATAACGACATCTACGGCCACATAACAACAGCTAACAACAGCTACGGCCACATAACGACAGCTACGGCCACATAACAACAGCTACGGCCACATAACAACAGCTACGGCCACATAACAACAGCTACGGCCACATAACAACAGCTACGGCCACATAACAACAGCTACGGCCACATAACAACAGCTACGGCCACATAACAACAGCTACGGCCACATAACAACAGCTACGGCCACATAACAACAGCTACGGCCACATAACAACAGCTACGGCCACATAACAACAGCTACGGCCACATAACAACAGCTACGGCCACATAACAACAGCTACGGCCACATAACAACAGCTACGGCCACATAACAACAGCT